CCATCTGTTTTAATGTATACCTAACTGAGTGATTCTTTTATACTTACGATTTAAGTCTTTAATCGCGAGTAAATCATGAAATCAAATAGCGTTGTCTCCCAGCTAATACTTAATTTCGTTCATAACAGAAACTATAATTTCGTAATTGCATCAGATTTCTAATAACGTTTTCTTTCCTTGGAGATTTCCGACGAGCGGGTAATGAGGCCTCATTCCGCGTTCCTCACGCGAAGGCTCGCGCGCGGAATACAACCAACCGCTTCTGGTTTATTTCTCAAAGGATTTCTTACGAGAAATAGGGCAAAGCCCAGTTTATGACCGTCTAATTGTTTTATGGGGTTGGTGAACTTGCAGGATCTGTGTCGGTCGCTTTGATAAGGATTTATCTGTTACAAATTAGTAAAGGAAAAATGGGAAAGGTCATGACACATGACGCACTAAACGTTAATTTACACTTTTGGCTCTTTGACTTGAGAAAATAGCATCGTCGTATTTTTTCTATTGCTCTTGTAGCTAGACGAGCATACGACCCACATGATGGTGAGTGGTTACAGTCGCTCGTGGACATCAGTAATGCCAGAGATAGAACCAAGCGGCTGCCTGCCGTATATTGCTTTCGTTGGTCTCGTGAAAGACGACTAAGAGAATCAGAGGGTAGTTCGATGACTGCGATCTCCAATCGGTAGTAGGGCGTAGAGATAGGTACAGTTATCGTGCCTATTTCTACGGAAAAGCAATCGTGCGTTGCAATTAGTTGCCCAGTCGTTTTTCAATATAATTGAGCCTTCGATCCCGGATTTCAAGTTGGTTTGGGCCACTCGAAATACGTGTCAATGAGATCCGCTAATAATATAATTCAATACCAGTTCGGCCGTGAGCTAATCAGGGTATAAAGCAAAGGAATAATTCACTGATTCGTTCAATGACCTTTCTTAAGTACACGAGTACTAGATCGAGGTATTTTCTTACTTAGACGCTATTAAATTACTCCTACTTTTGTTTCTTGAGCAGCATTTAGAACAGTTTAAATAGCTGTGGAATGAAAATGTAAAATTTAAATACATTTCCATAAACAATTGCAAATTATTGTTTTTTGCGACATGCCGTTAATTTTGCCACAGCATATCATTACTTTTGTTATAGTAACTAATATTGTCGGGATTATTGACAATGTCTTCTAATTCGATGGAGCTGGCTGCACGCACGAAAAAACATGACTCATGCGACGTTATGTCGCTCTGAGGCGTTCCATTTAAGGCTTGAATTGCAAGCGAGAGCGCCCAACGAGCGACAAAGAGGCACAATGGGCCTCCGCGTTCGGCAGCGTTCGACATCTGTCTCTCTCCTACTTGAATGAGCGATGCATCCGCGTGGGCAGCTGCTATACAATAATACATTTACATGTTTTTGTCCAATATTTATAGGTCCAATATTTATTTATTAATAATTTCCATTTACCTCCTTCTCTATATCCATACAAAATATCTATCAAACAAATAAAATTAAAATTTTCTTTTGAAAAATGAAACCATTTTATTTATTCATTCTTATGACGTTGTCACGTTCAACTATCGTCACTAAACCGACTTTACAGAAAACCGTTTTTTTTTTTTTTTTAGAATATCAAGCCCAATTACTAGCAAGGCTCTTTTTCTCATATTTTCTCGGAACTCATTGTTTCGGATTTGCTTACGTACATTCTCTTGAAAAATTACTCTTGTAATAACATCGTAAAGTCTTCGAACTATATGAAAAACGGGATAAACCCTTCTCTATATAGCTTTCAAAATTGAACCGAGTGAAGTGGATTATCTTGTTACAATACTTGAAAAACGCCTAAAGGCTTTCTGAAACTAATGAGTGGCTTTACAGATTTATAACCATGAGCTTGAGAGACAATTTAACGTGTTTTCTTTGATAGATGTACTTAAAAAACTAATTGAATCCGTAATGTAATTAATAAAATTTGTAAAGCTATTTTATGAGATTTGAGCAAATCCAACTACGCGGCAAAGAAAACAAATGATGGTAAAAAGAAAAAGTAAGGTGCCCGAGGCCATTGAAATAAACAATCCTTAAGAACCCCACTTAACGAGTGGGTGCGCCAAACCTCAGCTCGTGAACTATGTAGAACATTTGTCAAGGCTTTAATAAACAAGGATACTATAACCTCTACTGCTCTGCCAAGAACAACTGAGTATAACATCTAACATCTGGAATCAAAGAGGATAAGAATCGTGAAGATGAAAACTCAAGTCAAACAAACTGTCAGACCTCAAGACATGGCTAGTTCGTTCTGAGTGAAACGAAATATAAAAATCCAAAAAAATGTTGACATAGAAAAAAATAGATATAACAATATATTAAAATGTCAACGAATAAAACCTTAGTCGTCCCTGACAAAGGTTAAAAAGCGTAAAGTATTCGAACCGGAAATGATATAAATAACAATAAAAAACGCGAAATTAAGCCGTAAAAGTAGTTATAATTATTCCTACGAGTCGCGATAATCGAAAAAAATATGATTTGCTATATTTATATAAAGACCAACATTCCCCACAGAGCTCCACCCGTGTAGACAAACTACACTTTATATTGTGTGGTCAGCAGAAGCGGGTAGTATATATATGTATTATTTCTCAGAATTCAAACTATTTAGGGTACATTCGACCTAAATATTTCATTAGCTAGAACTACTACATGACATTAATACATCAATAATATTCACTAAGAGGTACACTTTCCCAATATAAATGGACATACACTGACTGATAGTTTATGTCTGGATTAAGATTTAATATAAAATACAATATCGATAAGAACATCTCCCGCACTATATTGTAGCTGAAGTAAGCTCGTATTTTTTTTAAACTACGTCTTTATTTATTTATTTAAAAATTTAAACATTCTTCAGGCTTATATACATTTATTTATACACCTAAAATAATAATAATAAACAAACGTTCACCGCTTCCAATCTTCTTTATAACCGTGGCAGCCCTTCTCAATAACATAAAAATGAACGGTAAACTTCACGTTTCGTATTCCACGCTACTTTTATAGAACATTCCATCAAATGTCAATCAAATTACCTACCGACGCTCGGGGAAAATTTTGACGACGAATAAATTTACGAACAGGGTGTTCATTTGCCATTCACATTCATTTGATTATGTTTTGAAATTGCTTGAATTGTTACAGAAACAAAAACTGTTAAGAATGTTATGATAAAAACATAACGAATACTCATAAAATATAAGGATCATCATCATCATCATTATCCTGCCCTTCTCCCAGTCACCTGGGGTCGGCACAACATGTTTTCTCCTTCCATACTCTTCTATCAAATTCCATTTCTTCGCTCACTTCCTTCTTACCCATATCGTCTTTAGGTCTATTAGGTCTACCTCTTCCTCTATATCCTTCCACATTCATAGTTAACATTCTCTTACCAACTCATTTTCATTTCGTCTCATCACATGTCCATACCATCCCAAACGCGCACTTCTCTGTCACAGGTGCCACTTTCAGACTTCCTCTAACATATTCATTCCGTATTCTATCGCAACATTCGCATCTCTGCTGCATGCAATCGCCTCAATAAAATATAAGGATCAAAACAACATAAACATAACGTCGGAGGTGTATTAAATACTAAGCTGATAGACGGTAATAGATAAGTTGATAGAACTTAAATTTGATTTTTTACTTAGAAAATTCTGTTTAACTCTTCCAGTAATAAATTTTAAAGAGCGTTTTTATTGAAGCTGTGAAATTGCGTGAAGGTTTTGATCATTATTGTGGCTTTCTACTTCAAACTTAAAGTTCTTTCTAGCGTATCAAATTGTAATTAATGTACTAAATGCAATATAGTTAGTAAAATACTAAATGGATTTAATATTTTGGATGTCGAGTCTATTAATTATTATTTATTTTGAACTTAAATATTTGTGTGGCGGGTAGCCATCATACAACGCAGGATAATTGACAGATGCCTGAATCTCGCTTACGACATTTTCAAGATAAAGCGCATATATACAAGTTCCGAACAACAACATTCGGACCGTCGGTCTACCGAGCAAAATATCACCCGCTCGGTGGAAGATCTTCCCTCCGTCGTTAAGCCTCCCAAAATTGTTAAATTTATGATTGAGCAAAATTAAATACATTAGATTTTCTCAGGATTAAGAGAGGCCTGTGTCACTAAACTAAGTTTTTACTTTTCGAAATTCCTTCAGCCTTTTTGCGTGATTAAAAGTAAAAACATTTAATCATATTTACAATTAAACTAACACTTTTATGATATTATTTCACAGACGAACCGTCAGACGATCGCTACCCTAGTATTAATTGATATTCGTATCTCATACGCGTAAAACGAACACATTATTCACAATCAATCCAAGTCTCAGGAAGTGTTTGACAGCTGTCCCACATATTCAACACGGCAAACAACGCTATATGTTAATACGTACACTGATTATGTGGACGAACTGTTATGATACCCTCTGGTTCCTAGCTTTCCTTTCATCATCACCTTTCCCGAATAGCATCAGCAGTTATGATCGTTTATTAGAGAACAATCCCCTCCCTATCCAGTCAGTCCTATTCCTAATTCCACACGGCACGGCTGCCGTCATAATCGTCATTAAATCTTTATATATTCATTTCGTCAATAAAATCTTTTTTAAAAACATTTTTTCAACTCCGTATAACAGAACTCACATTAAAATACTCGCATAGATCACAGAGAATAATGAAGAAAAAATATATAATTGAACTGATTTTTAGGATTGTCAAATAAATTTCAGTCGGATCTAGATTTAGTCTAGTATATTTTGCATTCGATTTTTATCAATCAATGATTTTAAATCGTCAACTATAAAAATTGACTGTTTTAAAGCAATATATTTGAAATATAAGTTTTTGTTACAAATAAACATAATAGTATGTAGCAAGTATGTTGTTGGATGTTACAAATTATATTGATATATTTGCAGAACAGATCACCGCCGCCAGCAAACATCCCAACCGCATTAATCTACTCACCGCCGGAACCTTTAGAGGTAAGTTGTTCTTAATTCATCTTCATGCACGAAAACGGTATTTTTTTTATTTTATTTTTAGTGTAACGAAATTTTTTTTTATTGTTTGGATGGGTGGATGAGCTCAGCCCACCTGGTGTTAAGTGGTTACTGGAGCCCATAGACATCTACGACGGAAATGCGCCACCCACCTTGAGATATATAGTTCAGGTCTCTATAGTTACAACGGCTGCCTTACCCTTCAAACCGAAAGGCGTTACTGCTTCACGGCAGAAACAGGCAGGGTGGTGGTACCTATCCGCGCGGACTCACAAGAGGTCCTACCACCAGTAATTACGCAAATTATAATTTTGCGGGTTTGATTTCTGTTACACGATGTTATTCCTTCACCGTGGAAGTAAATCGTGAACATTTGTTGAGTACATATTTCATTAGAGAAATTGTTACCCGCCTGGGATTCGAACACTGGTGCATAGCTCAACACTAATGCACCGGACGTCTTATCCTTTAGGCCACGACGACTTAAAATCATCACATAGTGTTAAATGGTTATCAGAGCGAAACCCTTCAAACCAAGATCCATTACTGCTTCACAGTTGAAGTGGTAGTTTAGTAGTGGTTAGAAGGGCTCACAAAACGCTCTCCCTATCCGTAATTAGGCAAATTGTAATCTTTACGTGTTCGATTTTTATTGCACTATGTGTTCTTACACTGTGGAAGCTATTAATGGATATTTCTTAATGGTAATCGAACACCGACACAGTCCGAATCCCGCAGGCGCCGGTTACCATTTTTTCCAATGAAATACGTACTTGAGAAATGCTCACGATTAACTTCCACGGTGAAGGAATAACATCTCTATATATAAAAATGAATTGCTGTTCGTTAGTCTCGCTAAAACCCGAAAACGGCTGAACCGATTTGGCTAATTTTGGTCTTGAATTATTTGTGGAAGTCCAGAGAAGGTTGAAAAGGTAGATAAATATGAAAATGCTCGGAATTAAATAAATATAAAATTTTTGTTTTTCCTTAGATGTGTCCCCCGTCCGTCGGATTCCTTTTGTTTGTTTTAAGTTTATTTTATACAAAAGCTTAGGTATTTTATTTATCGATTGAGGTACTACGAAGTCTGCCGGGTCAACTAGTCATGTAATAAAAATCAAACCCGCAAAATTATAATTTGCGTAATTACTTGTGGTAGGTTCTCTTGCAATAAAATAAATATTAAAAAATTAGTTGTCTCTAAAGTCGGTTTTCTGACGATAGTTGAACATGACAACGTCATTAGAAAATACTGATGGAATGGTTTAAATTTTCAATTATCGCAATTATCGTTGCTATAAACAATTGACACCACATTCACTTTTCACTGAACTTCACACTTGACGAAAACATGTAGATGTATTATTGTATAGCAGCTGTCCACGCGGATGCATCGCTCACTCAAGTAGGAGAGAGATATATGTCGAACGCTGCCGAACGCGGCGGCCGATTGTGCCTCTTTGACGCTCGTTGCGCGCTCTCGCTTGCACTTCAAGCCTTAAATGGAACGCCTCAATGAGTCATGTTTTTTCGTGCGTGCAGCCGGCTCCATCGAATTATAAGACGTTGTCACGTCAAAAATCGATACGAATGCACCGGACGTATTATCCTTTAAGACGACTTCTAGCTTGATGATTGTTATGTATTGATTTTCTGTTTAACAGTTGCTATGCGTGTTCCCCGAGCGCACGTCACGCGTGTGCGCCGCAGCGTGCTCGGCGGTGGAGCGGGCGGGCGGCGAGGCGCGGTCCCTGCGGTGCGCCAGGGAAACACTCGACGCGCTACGTCGCGACAACGACACGCGCGTGCCCCACGTCATCGTTGTCGACGCGCGACAACCGCAGCAACTCGATGCATTGCTGCTCGCTAGGTTTGTACCTCAATTTTTAAGCTATTGCATAGATTTTATCGCGGGCCTTGAGCGCGGCGACCGAATCCTGAAATTCCGTAACGAAACCTTACATCCCTCACTCCGCCTACCATGTAGCTCGCGTTCAACACATTTACACGTGGCGCTTGTGTAGTGTTTGTGAATAAGCGCGGGGTGTGACGTCACACTGCATGCGCATCATGAAAAGTCAGCCCATCTCTCTCTCGCGCGGTCTAGCTTATGAGTATGAAGGGGACAGTTAATGTTTTACTTTTATTAATATTTAATATAGCGTGGTCTTGTTTTATTATTGTTTTAATATTAAATTACCATTGTCTAATTATAATTGCATAAGTTGATAAAAAATGCTATGCAATAGCTTTACCGCGGCAGTTCCCGAGTGCCACGCATTTTTTTATGTCTCGCTCCCGTCGATGTATTAGAAAATTGTGCGGCTGGATAGGCATTAAAAAATTTGAATAATTAATTTTTGTCAGTATACTGAAAAAAGTGTGTGTGTCCGCTCCGACGCACGACTGGAGTTTACTGGATATAAAAAATTAAACGAAACAATACGAGAAATAGTTCTATATTACGACAACACGATACACTACAGATTATTAACAAATTAACGAGACACAAAACAAACGACTAACAAATATATGAAAATACAATAATGAGAGAAACGCGCGATCAGTACGAGGCTTTGTGGCGGACTGCCGGCGCAGCAGCCCGGCGTCACCTGCGATAACGCATTTCGTGTGACATGCGCAATCAGGCGCATAACGCATTTCGTGTGACATGCTAGTACGATTTTGGTCCCCATAATTTTCATACCCCGGGCCTATATATGTAAATCGATTCTAAAGGAGTAAACTCCAATAAAAATTTCGTTTTTCCTTTGATGTGTCCCCCGTCGGACGGATTCCTTTTGTTTGTTTTAAGTTTATTTTATACAAAAGCTTAGGTATTTTATTTATCGATTGAGGTACTACGAAGTCTGCCGGGTCAACTAGTCATGTAATAAAAATCAAACCCGCAAAATTATAATTTGCGTCATTACTGGTGGTAGGTTCTCTTGCAATAAAAAAATTATTAAAAAATCAGTTGTCTCTAAAGTTGGTTTACTGACGATAATTGAACGTGACAACGTCATTAGAAAATACTGATGGAATGGTTTCAATTTTCAATTATCGCAATTATCGTTGCTATAAACAATTGACACCACATTCACTTTTCACTGAACTTCATACTCGACGAAAACATGTAAATGTATTATTGTATAGCAGCTGTCCACGCGGATGCATCGCTCACTCAAGTAGGAGAGAGATAGATGTCGAACGCTGCCGAACGCGCAGGCCAATTATGCCTTTTTGTCCCTCGTTGCGCGCTCTCGCTTGCACTTCAAGCCTTAAATGGAACGCCTCAATGAGTCATGTTTTTTCGTGCGTGCAGCCGGCTCCATCGAATTATAAGACGTTGTCACGTCAAAAACTCGATACGAATGCACCGGACGTCTTATCCTTTAAGACGACTTCTAGCTTGATGATTGTTATGTATTGATTTTCTTTTTAACAGTTGCTATGCGTGTTCCCCGAGCGCACGTCACGCGTGTGCGCCGCGGCGTGCTCGGCGGTGGAGCGGGCGGGCGGCGAGGCGCGGTCCCTGCGGTGCGCCAGGGAAACACTCGACGCGCTACGTCGCGACAACGACACGCGCGTGCCCCACGTCATCGTTGTCGACGCCCGACAACCGCAGCAGCTCGATGCATTGCTGCTCGCTAGGTTTGTACCTCAATTTTTTAAGTCTCACTCCCGTCGATGTATTAGAAAATTGTGCGGTTTGATAGAATTTGAAGTCGTCATAGCCTAAAGGATAAGACGTCCGGTGCATTCGTATCTAGCGATGCACCGGTGTTCGAATCTCGCAGGCGGGTTCCAATTTTTCTAATGAAATACGTACTTTACAAATGTTCACGATTGACTGCCACGGTGAAGGAATAACATCGTGTAATAAAAATCAAAACCCGCAAAATTATAATTTGCGTATTTACTGGTGGTAGGACCTCTTGTGAGTCCGCACGAGTAGGTATCACCACCCCGTCTGTTTCTGCCGTGAAGCAGTGATGCGTTTCGGTTTGAAGGGTAGGGCAGCCGTTGTAAACTATACTTGAGACCTTGGAACTTATGTCTCAAGATGGGTGACGCATTTGCGTTGCAGATGTCTATGGGCCCCAGTAACCACTTAACACCAGGTGAGCTGTGAGCTCTTCCACCAATCAAAGCAATAAAAAAAAACATTAAAATATTTTAATAATAAATATAGTCAGTACTGAAAAAAATTAAATGCTCAAAATCCAGAAAAAAGGCTATCTTTTCCATGACAAGCGTTATTTCAAATTACGATTGAACATGCACGTGCAATAATGACTCATTTTTAATGACAAACTGTACAACATACGCATATTATTAATGTACGAATAATTTTTAATCTGATTTAATCCGAACAATAAAAGTTTTAGTGACGTTAAAACAACGTCCAATGCTATGTACGCCATTGTTGTCACATGCATCAGGCCATAAATTAAATAGTTTAAATTTATTTTCAATGTTAGATGTTTGTGATGTGGCAGTACTTATTTAAATAAATAAATAAATAAATAAAACGTCAATTCCTTAATTTTACACAAAATGTTTAAGAAAATCCCCAATTTTGAATATTTTGAATATGAAATCATTTCGTATATTTCATTGCGTCAAAATAATTGCACAACACAATACGCCGAAGCCTATACACGAGCTATCACCAAATTCGACGGAGTCCGACATTTGGTGACATGAACTATACAGATTGCAATGCACGCTTTCATTGTCCGAAAATAGCTGCACGCTACAGCTTTAATCCCTTTCTATTTTGGTTCTTTGGTCAATATAAATATGAGAGTGGGAGACTTAAAATGCTTTTACTGTGAGTGAGTACACGCGAAAAATGTGTCGAGTACAATCGCGCGGTTGATCGTTAAAAGGGTTTTTGAAACGATGACTCTTTCGAAATATTCGGAAAATTGTTGCGCATATCTATATATTTAATACGTGAAGCAAAAACTTTGTATCCCTTTTTACGAAAATTGCGCCACTTCCACAAAATTCCACACTTACAGAAAATATAGAGAAGAATTGCACAATGCAATATTTTTTTTAATAATGCATTAAAGATACATTAAATCAATAAAGAAAACATTACGCACACTACCATGTATTTGACACAAAACATACATAAAAATATACTCTTTGTTTACTGTCAATTGGGAAACTTTTCTTATTGTTTAAAGTCTGTGGTCGACTTGAAAATAGATTAATATTGTTTGTCATTAATATTATTGATATATAGTGCAGTTTTGGCGAATACTGGGATAATATTATCGAAATATAATAGTCTTTGACAATAGAACCATAATAATGTTTAAATTTATAATTTCAATTAATTATAGTCGAATCTCGATTACTGCGGGGCCACTAGTCTGAAATAAAACGTGCAGAAGTATTAACTAACTTGGTGCAACATAAAACTGGCACAAGGTCAATGTCCAAAGGTAAATTTGAAATACCCATGGTACAAAATTACTATGGAGATAGAACCTGAAAAAAACGAGTTCCATACTTACTCAATAGTTTACCCGAGGACATAATATGTGAGCCTATACTTGTTAAATTTAAATACTTATTAAAAAACACTTGTTGAATACATTTTAACCGTTTACAAGGTTTTGTAAACTATTTAATGGTCACATGTTTGAAAGAACACCAAGATGGCAAAACAAAAAAAAACAGGCAATTTCGCTTCTCACACTCCCGCCAAAACTCCTCTGAACCTGTAAGTAAAATGCGACCAATGCAAAAAACTGTGTACATACATCAAATTACAAATTTGACACCCTTGGAAATGGAAGATAAAAATTTTTGATTCCACCAATAAGTTAGAGAAGAGACTTATTAGGGATTTTATACAGCTTCCGTCAATATTCCGGTCCATTACATCCGCATTATTCGTTTCCCGTCAGAGAATCCTTTTCCGGCAAATACCTTTATTCTTTGGTATTATTAGGTAGGTAGGCAACGGGTATCTCGTTCGAAGGACACGTATTGAGACGTCGCCGGGGACAAGTTCGTTAAGTCCGACCCTGTATTAGCGTTTTCCTTGAAAAGGCCGTGTGGAACCCTTAAAAGAAATCACTTCATCTTCACAACAACATAATAGCCTCTTTGAACGGTCTGAAGTTTTCTGAGCGTATTTCGAATTTGTCGAAAATTTACAAACTCATTGTAAACTTATAACATTGGAACCTATTTTACAACATTTATATTAGAAAATTGAGAATTTATTTATTTTTAATTAAATAATTGATTTCTTATTTTATCAATGGTGATAAATACCTGAGTGTGATTCTATGCGGATAGGTTATATCCTCTATATTATTTATTTCTGTCGCAAAGTCATCATGGATTTTATTACGAAGAGCAATACAACTAATATTAAAAAAATCAAGCTTTTAAGATAATTTTCTCGTAATTGTGTGTATCGAGTGCAATAACTACTTTGGAATCGAGGCTTCTCCCATCTCTATCCTCCTAGAGTAATAAGATAACACTACTACACTTGCAATTTCAATCCAACACCTCTAAAAATTTAACTCAGCTGCGTCAGTTATTCACCAAACGCAACATCACTTAATCAACATAAAAAATTCCATCTTAATTTGCAAACCTCTTGGTTTTATACCGCATTATATCATTCACATAATGTCCTTCATGGTGCCGGAAGTCGTCGACAATACCCAAGGAAACTACACATGTATACATCGGGCACTTATTCGAAGAGATTCATTTCCTCGGCCGAAATCGCAAATCATCGCAGTGTCCCGCGGTCGGACCTTTTTGCGTGACCCACGCAATAAAGTAAGGTTTTTACAGTAAAGAAAGATTTACTGTGGAAATAACATT